AAAGAATAAAAAATGAGAAAAAAAATTATTATTCAATGATTAAATGTGCAATTTAGTCCTCAGATAGCACGTAAGCGTCAAATGTCCCACCTGACTCAAGCTTGCATGGTAAGCTTACTAAAAGATTGCAGTATAAGGTTACTGCAAGATTGCACAATAAGATTATCGGAAGATTTCTCAGTAAGCTTGCACGGTAAGCTTGTAGCAAGATTGGTGCAAGGTTGTCAAATAACTTTGCTTTGAATCTAAAATTAGACGAAACAATTCAAAAAATATATTTTTAGGTTCAAAGCAAGGTTATTTGACAACCTTGCACCAATCTTGCGATAATCTTATTGTGCAATCTTGCAGTAACCTTACACTGCAATTTTTCGGTAAGCTTACCATGCAAGCTTGGGTCAGGTGGGACATTTGAAGCTTGCCGCAAGGATGCTGCAAGCTTACGTGCTATCTGGATCAAGTGTATTATTTAAATTATTCTTAATTTTAAATATTGCTAATTAATTATAATTATTAATATATTAAATAATTATTATATAATTATTATAATTGAACTTATACTCGTTGGTAGCCTCGCAGTTATTTAATAAATAATATAGAATTACAACAGCGTTACTAACGGTTATTTACGCGTTTTTTGTCAAATATTTTTACACCCTTTTTTTTGTCATATAAAAACTATTTCACATAATAAAAAAGGAAAACAAAAGAAAGAATTTAGTAAAAATAAACCGTGAATTTCGAACCTACTTTCTTATCATGCAATTGGCAATTACTCTCCTTTCGTTGTAATTTCGATAATTGCAGACACACACAGGTATAATGAAATTGTTGTTTTCATTACTTTTACATGAAAATAGGCGTTGACTGTATAACGGTACATATAGAAGCAATAGTATAACGAAGAAGTAAAAAGTAGATTTAGAAAACTACATAACTTGAACTTATTTCGTGTATACCTATATAATAATGTTTATTATACTATAGCGAAGATAGAATCATATATAATTGTAAAAAGGGAGTGTGTGTAAAAGATTTGACGTTAAGGAAGATAGGGGCCCCAACATAACCTCAAAACTGAAAAATCGTTTTTGCAATCAAATAAACTTCAAAAAAAATTAATTTCAAACAATTTTAAAAAATCTACTTATACACTATATGGAAAAAAATTTATTTTAACTTTTTTAAAATAATTTAAAATTAAAAGAATAATTTTAAAAAATAATTATTTAACCAAAAAAAATTTTCCAAAAAGTGTACACTGTAAAAAAAAAGGAGTTGAATTTCGACTCCTCAGGGGATGCTATAAAAGTCCCACCCATTAGGGAGTTAAAACAAAGGGAGTTCAACTTTAACTACTTACACGAGTTGAAGAGTATGATCTTCCATTATAAAATAACTCAAAAGGGAGTTGATATCACGGAGAAAAATGGGATTGTGGTGCAAACAATTTTTGGATTGTTGTCAGTAGATTTGTTGATATTACAATTCGGATTGTTGTCAATACAAATGTATGTTGTTTTAACAACAATACGAATTTTTTGTTGTCAGTTTTGTTCAGTTTGCAATTCCGTACAGTTGCAGAAGCAAACTCTCTGTCGATTGCTGATGGAACAATCCGGATTTGTTCAGCTGACAGGTTTATTGTTCCATGTCACGTGGTCATCTTGAATTCTCGCAAACTGGCGTGCAGATCGTCGCGTCGTTTGCTTCTGGCACATGTGCCACTTTTGCTTTTATTATTAGCTTTTTTTAAAAATGACAAAGTGCTATTAAATAATGAATCCGGTTAAAGTGAGAAATCTATTGCAAGTGCAATGAATGGATGAAGAGACAATTTCATCGTTTATCGGTAAGTTATACTCGGTTACTGTTGAACATAACCTCACCTTAAAAAATACAAAATGTATATTAAATATTATTTAACAACAAATTTCAACTCAAAATAATTTTTTGGTTTCAAGTCAAAGAATTTGATTCAGAAGCTGCATGTTCCACACATTTTAATGCAAATGAAACTGGTGACATGACCTACGGAAATCTGCTATCTATTATTTTAGAAGGCGAAGAAACTGAACAAATTGTATTAGACGGATCAAAGCTTTGTTAATACAACAAATTGTATTGCCGATTTAACAATTTAATTTTGTTATTTCAACTGTTCCATAACACTTTTCTTTGTTCATCAAACAATTCTGTTTGTTCACCGAACAATTCGAATAGTTTTAATAACAATGCCATTTTAACAATTTTTTTTGTCCCAAAAACAAATAGAACTGCTGGTTCTATATTGACAATCTGGAATTGTTGTGTGGACTTAATTTTTAGTAACCACAACAATTCTTTTTTCTCCGTATACTGAACTCCCTTCCACTCTTTTTCGAGTTGATTTTTAACTCAAAAAATTGAACTTTCAACTCCTAGTGCCGTTAACTCCCTAAATTTTTTAAACTGAATTTTACAAAAAATTCTATGAAATTATTTTTTATTAAATTTTTGTTTGCATTAAAAAAGATTTTTCAGTTTTGAGGTTATGTTCGGGCTTCCATCTTCCTTAAGTTGTTGTCAGTAAAAGAGGGGGAAAAAAGAAAATATAATAAATATATATATAAAAAAGAAAGAAAGAATGAAAGCAGAATCAAGATCATCTTCACGCAATGTCGAGTGGAGGCGCAGGCTTACATAATGCTTTCATGCAAGACAAGGCCAAGGTTTTCAGCGTATAACCTGCGCGCGCGAGAGAGAGCCTTGCTTTCCATTATTGAATAACAGCATCAAGTCTCTTTTCTTCATTACCATCAACCTCCTTATCTACATTCAATGAATTTAATGTTTATATTAATTTTACATATATTATACCTTATAGATATGTAACAATTAGGTGGTTAATTATAAATTCGTTAAATTAGACATTGAATGTATATATAATACAAGTTTCCCATACACACATATAGAAATATATCGTATACCGTTTCATTGCTCTCATAATTAAATCATAAATTACTGATTAAAGCAATTTCGAGCGAATTATTGCTAACTTCAATTACACAAGTTTTTCATCTTTATTCCCTCCCGCTTTGCTGAGAGACGGGAAAATGTATTCACTGAATATCACGAATAACAAATTTAATTTTTGTCCGAGTAATAAATTTTATGTCTTTACAAATTTTTCTTATATATAAAAATACATAAAACGAATATATATTTATATAAAAAGTTAAAAAGATTTATACTTTAAATTTAATAATTAAAATTCTTGTAATATTTAATTATTATTTCATTATTATTATTATCTAATTATTGTTGACTATTTAAATTATTTAATAATATATTTCATTGATGAATTAATTAAATTATAAAAAGAAATTTTTTGTTGCAAAATTCTCATTAAATAAACAAATATATTTAAAAATAGGAGACTCGAATTTTATAATAAAAAATTTGAGAAATAATTAAATGTATAACGAAGTTTTACTATAAAGGTGTTACATATTATTTTTAGTCCACAAAAATTGATAATACTTTATATTTCGATCAAAACACAAATTTCAATGTTAATTTATATTAAAACTTCTTTTTTATGTTTAATTATGTGCATGTATAACTTATGATTATTTAACTGTTAATTCAAATTTTTTTAATTGATAAAAAAACTTGTTTAGTTAAATAAATTAATTTAGCTATAATTATATTTTTAATAATCACTTTTAAAACAACTGATAAGTTAAATATTTATTATTGGAAAAATTTTCCTATCAGAGTTTTCAATATTAATAATTAAATAATAATAATAATAATAAGAATTTTAATTGAAGATAATTTCAACTTTTATAAAAATTGAAAAAAAATAATCAAAAAAATAGATTATTTTAATCTTTTATGATATTATTTATTATTATTATAATAATAAATATATAAATAAATTGACGTAACCAAATTTTAGTTAAATTAACTAAATAAATACATTGCTACACAGTTAACCAAACTTTTTATTGAATCAACCAAAATTTTATTTATAGTTCAATGAAAATTCTTTCTTCGTTCGAAAAATTTATTAAACTAAACCAAACGTTTATTTAGATTAAATAAATATTCATTAGAATCAAATAAATTATTGGTTCAAATACAATTTATTTAATTCAAATAAAAATTTAGTTAAATATTTAATTGATTGAAATTGTTTTCATTAAATAGTGTATTAGTATTAAATAATTTAGTTGACTTAAATCCATTAAATAAAATTATTGTATCAAATACTTTTTATTTGTTTCAATAAAACGAAATATTTGAGAGAAATAAAGAAATGAATAGTTTCAAGTAACTCATTATTTGTAATAATTAAATTCATTTATTAAATTCAATTAATTATTTACTTGAACCAAATACGATTTATTAGATTCAAATAAGTGTGATTCAAGTTATTTGAAGCAAATACATAATATTATTTGAATCCAAATAAAAAATATTTGAACCAAATAAATATTTTTCAATTAGCTTCAGTGTTATATAGCTTTTATAATATTTACTTGAACTAAATAATTTTTATTTAAATTAAACAAATTCTTTTGAACCAATAATTTTTCTATTTCAAACAAATAACATTTAATTGACGCAAATAATAATTTAATTTAAATAAATATTTATTTGATAATTATTTCTTATATTATATTTATTAATTTTATTTTATTATTTGAGAAAAATAAAATTTTTTCAAATGTAAATTTAGAGCAAAAAATGCTTTTTTATGAAAAAAAAAAGAAATATAGATATTTAAAGTATAAAATATTAATGATTGAGAATAAAAGTTGACTCATATATTATTGTGATGAAGATATTTGCGAAAAAGAAGCTAATATGAAGTTGTCTCATGTCTTCACTGGATTATATGATTACAATCATGTAATATGAAAATAAAATTTGATTAGTGGTTTGACATTGGGAAAAAAAGAAGAAATTTATATATATATATATGTTTGAATGTGTGATGTCGATGAACTTACCTGATAAGGATAAGCGCCAGGCCGATAGAAGCTGTTGGTCGTTAATGTTGGATGACTCTTGCTACTTCCGCACATAGAAGCCATGTTTCGAAATGTCCACCTCTTATATCACACAAAACAGCTTAGATTGTTTTACGTGATTCTTTCTTCTCTCGTAACATTCAACTTAAAAGCACGCATAGCAAAATGCATAACCTCCTCGTCTTGCAATAAAGAAGCTCGCTTCAAAATGCTCCTTTGTAACGCTGCGGATGCGAGCGAATGACGCTAGAAATTGCCCACCGACTATTATCCTAATCGTCATTACAACACTGAACATGAAATACGAATTCCTTCACTGCGCGCTGTGATTACTTTTTTTTTCCTTCCTCCCAACTATATAAATCTTTTATCTAACACAATCATTTTATATTCTTCATAATCTTGAATAATTTACTCTTATCTCACACTCAAAATTTGCATATATATATAATAACTATTAAAACAATTTTTAAAAATCCATTTTAGGCCATTTTTTTTGCACTTCACTTAATGACTTTTTTATTAATTTTTTTTTTTGTTTAAACCCTTTTTTTGTTCGTCAATTGTTTTTGTTGTCAATCTTCACAATTTAAAAAAAAAAAAAAAATTAACATTAAATTAATTTTTTATTCCCTGACTTTTAAATGTTTTTAATAAATTTTTATATATTTATTTAAAAATATTTTATTGTAATTAAATATTTATTGGTTTATTTTTGAAAATTTTTATTTAAATTGTTGAAGTAGTTTTTTTTTATTTTAATTTTTTGTAAATTTTTTAGTGGAAAAATTGTTTGTTGGATCACGTTTTTTTCAATTTAAAGAACGAACTGGCATACGCCCTTCCTCCGTGACGGTTGACCACCGACTGACAACCGAGATCTTCACGCACCTCCATTCTTCATCTTCATTCCTTCTTTCCCTTCTTTTCCTACACACCATCTTTCCTGCTTGTTCCCACTTTACTCCCTCCTGTGAATCCCTTTTGCTTTGGGATGAGTTTCTTCATTATTCACGCATTGATCGAATATCTTCCCATATACATATATAGGTATATATTTATATTCATTTTCCTTTATTTCTTCCGTGTGTCATTTATTTTCCTCAACGAGATCACATATTATTTTATATTTTTCGAATTCCAATACACGAGATTATATAATTTATATTTTATATTTATAAATAATTTAAGCTATTTTCTTTTTAGCTTATTAACAATATAATGATTACAATTAAATAATTAGGTAATAAATATTTTAGAACCTTATAATAAATAATTAATAATTGTTAAATGTTTATAATAATTAAATAACATTATAATGTGTAACAATATTGTTTAAAATAATTTTTAATAACAATTAAATTAAATATTAATAAGATATATAAAAAATAAAATGTGAACTAAAAAAAAAACAATTAAATTTTTTTAAAATTAAATAACAATTAAAAATGTCAAAATAATGTACAACAATTAAATGTTAAAGCAATAATACAATTAATATAACAATCAAAATTTTTATAAAAATAATAATTAAATATTATACAATATTTGAATATTTATATTAACAATATTTAATAGTAATAATAATATAAAAAAGATTGTTCTCTTATATGCGTGTACTTTAACATAATTGAGTAATTATAAAAATAAAAAATTATAAAAAATATAAGGAAATTAATTTAATTTTTTTTTCTTAAGATTTTACAGTGGTTTTTAAAATGTTATTTATTATTTTTATTCTATGATCTAATTCTGCTTAATAAAAATTAAATTAAATTAAAATTCTATTTTAAATAAAAAGTCACTGCTAAATAAAAATTCAACGAGAGAAGGGACCTTACGCCAAAAAAGTTTTAGGTTAATGTTTAATGATAGTTTTACGAAAAAGTTTTTTTTAACTATGTAAAATTAAAATTAGTTTTTATTGAATTTTTTTTAATGTAATGGAGACCTTAAACATAAATATTTTGTATTAAGAGTTGATTCTCTATGAATATTTTTACTTCAAAAATCACAAACATAACCTAAAAATTTTTTGACGTTAGGTACCTTTTTTCGTGTTGACTCACGCATATATAGAAATTATGTTAAATATAAATTCTATTATAAATAAAAATAGTGATATTTAAAGCAAATAAGTTTTTTTTTGTCTCAGCGTGTATATATAATTCTGTCATCGGGGTAAAAAAAAGGTTATTTGTATCGCATTCGATATAGTAGAAAAATTCAAAAGATATGATGCACGACTAGGGATATTAATTCTTGAATAGTGCATTGGACCTTTGCCTTCGTCTGGAGATTTCAACGTCCGCACGTGTTACGTGCACATTGCTGAACACAGACACAATTATACCATCTCATGATTATATTTCCGCGTGTTCCATTCTCCCTTTTTCTTACATAATTCTCTCTCTCTCTCTCTCTCTCTTTCTCTTTTCTTCGATTCCCTCCCGTTTTTCAAGATAAATGCAATTCACTGTAAATATACTAGTTCTATGCTTCTTATCCGCAAGAATATATTCTTATCCTCAAAAATGTAATACCTATTGCATTTTTTAACATTTGTCACGCAATCTTGTTAAAGGAACGCCTTTAATCTTCTGGATAGTATAAACTTTTATTATATACCTATATATAAAGTATATATACGGTATACACATTGCAAGTGAGAAATGCTTTTAAAATTTTACAGAATAAACTTTTTTTTATTCTTAAAAAATTATTTTCTCATTATTAATGAAAGAAATAACATATTTTATTCATCTCAATAATTAATCTTTTTGAAATTAATAGTGGGGGGGGGAGAAAATGATAATTAATTTTATATATTTAAAATAAATCTGAAAAATTTCATTAATTTTTTTTTCTTATAAATAAGTTAGTTTATATTTTCTATTTTATGGGAAAAAAGTTTTTTAAAAAAAATTGTAAAGAAAAATTATTTTTTTAAATCTAGGAAATATCTTTTAAAAGCAAAAAATCAAGATCTTTTTCCAGTTGCATATACAAAAATTGTCTTGCTTTTCAAAGATACTTTAATTATTATTTTTTAACAAAAAAAAAAATAGGAAAAGAACTAGGCGCAATTGCGCCTACATCTAGGGTTTCGTGGCGCTTTAAATTTTAATTAAAAAAAAAATAAATCAAAAATAAATAATTTAAAAATAAATAATAAAATTTATTTTATAAATTTACCTAAAACATTAGGTAAAATGTCCATTCGATAATGTCCACTATTAAGACATGTCAACTCTTGGACATGTCAACTATATGGACATGTCAACTATTGCGACATGTCAACTATTGGGACATGTCAATTACTGAGACAGGTCAACTACTGGGACATGTCAATTGTAGGGGCATGTTAACTAATGGGACATGTAATGTCCATTCATGTAATGTCCATTCGGGAAAATGTCCATTCAGTAAATGGAGATTTTAGATCTGTGGGGCCCCAAAATTTGAATTTGGGAGCTATGGTGCCCCAAAATTTTAATTTGGGATCTGTGGTGCCCCAAAATTCGAATTTGGAAGCTATGTATGCCCAAAATTCGAATTTGGGATCTGTGGTGCCCCAAAATTTTAATTTGGGATCTGTGCCCTAAAATTTGATTTTGGGAGCTGTGGTGCCCCAAAATATACTACGGACAGACGGACGCCAAAGTGAAACTATAAGGCTTTCAGCCATGGGCCACAAAACCCTAAAAAGAAGAGTCAGCATTTCTCAAAAAGATCACCTAAAATTTTCAAAAAAAAATTAATTTTCAATATGAAATTGTTTTTATTATTTTTACTATAATTAAAATAAGTTTTTTGAAAATAATAGTAGTAATCTAGTAATCTCTCTTTTAATGAGCACATAGCTAATGTTGTTAATAAGGCTATTGGGGCTCTTCATTTTATTAAACGGAATTCGCATGATTTTAAAAATCCAAGTAGTTTAAAGTGCCTCTACTATGCGTTTGTTATGTCACCCATCATGTTTGCTTCACAAATTTGGTCGCCTTATTACAGCGTTTACGTTTTAAGACTTGAGCGTGTACAAAATCGTTTTTTGCGTTTTGCAGCTAGGCAATTAAATTTACATTTCGATTATCATCTGCATGATTATGATCTACACTACGTGCACAGCTGAGATTGCCAAAAATTGAGACACGTTTTTTGTTTAACGACCTTTTATTTTTATTTAAAATTATTAATAACATTATTCAATGTCCTGCTGTATTAGAGTGTATCAATTTTTCGGCTCCCTCAAGATCTTTAAGATATCATTCACCATTTGTCGTTGACTTCTATCGTACAAATTATGGTAGGGGAGACCGAGGAGGAAAGTAACAGAGGAGGAAAGTAACAAAGCTTATAACTTTTAAACAAATTATCGGATAGACATGGTTCAAACATATTTTTAGTCGGCACTGTTCCCCCTTCCTCCTCCATAGTGTGTCCGAGCCTGACAGGAAAGGTTAGGTCTGATTCCGGTGTGACGTGCAGAAAAAACGTCAAAAGTAAGTTTTCGTTGAAATTTTCAAAGTCTCGTATTTCTTTAATTTTATTGTTTTTCAAAATGTGCCTTTCGTTATTTTTTAGCCTTATTATCTGTCTTTAAGTTGTGCTTAAACAAACAATTTAACATTTGTGTAGTTTTAACTTTTTTGTTGACATACAAGAAAAAAGCGACCGAGGAGGAAAGTAACACGCTACTTTTCTCCTGTTGTCGATATTGTCCATGTTTTAACTAATGATTGAAGCAAATCGTATTTAATTTTACGAATAACAGAGATTTATTTAAGAAAAACCTGTGATCTAGGTAAGCATAAAATATCTTTAAGAAAAAAAATGAGCTAAATTCATAAAATGTTCGAAATATGTGCCAAATAAGTATAAAGTGTACTTAAACTTTTATGTGTTCCTAATAAAAATATTTCTAATTAATAATAGTCATTAGTCTAAAGAATTTTACATAATTTTATACTATTACTTTCCTCCTAGGAGCTTGTTACTTTCCTCCTCGGGGGTGAGGAGGAAAGTAACAGATGAAGAGCTTGCGTAAAAGTTATACTGTGAACTGTCAATTTATTATAAATGTTTAATTCAAATTTTATTTAAAAGGTGAATGTCCAAGCTTTCATTTAATATATTGGACAAATTTATCCGACAAATATTTTTAATGCTAGCATAAAAAAACTGATTTTTGTTACTTTCCTCCTCGGTCTCCCCTATACATTCTATTTTTGATAGAATTATGAAAGAAGCCAATTCATATAGTGAATGTATAGATTTTTTTGGAATCTCTTTGATTTCCTTCAAAACAAATTTAAAAATTTTACTATTCACCGCACAAAAGAATGACAATTTGTTGTAAGAGAGTGCTTTGGTGCGTTAATTTTTTAATTTTTTCATTATATCTTTTATATTTTTATACTTCAAGGGTTCTTTTAAAACCCGTGTACTTAAATAAATAAATAATAAACAATTAAAATTTAAATTATTTAAAAATAATTCTTTTTCAAAATTGTTTCTTTAATTTTTTTATCTATAAAATGTTAATATTTTTAGAAACTTATTTTAAATTACAGTGGTAGTAAAAAATCATTTAATAATGAAAAATTAAATTTGTTAATTGAAATGATCCTTTCAAGAAATTCTGACCCAGAAAAAGCTTATTAAAAAAAAAAGAAAATACCGTGGATGTCCCAGTTACTGTCCACCTAAGACCTAGTTTCCGTCCAGTTTAATTTTCAAAATAACATTTATAAAAAAATTATTTTCTTTTATTTGTTTACTTAAACTAATAAGTCGATTGTGTGCCAAAAGGAATATATTATTGTTAAAAAATAATTTAAATTACTATAC